TATTGCATAATGGATTTATACATATATATGTGTGTGTGTGTGTGTGTGTGTGTGTATATATATAATGATTAATTTAAATTTAATATAAGAATGTTTGGTACATTTTTTTTTTTTTTTTAATCTTTTCTGTATGAAATGGAGTGGTATTTAAAAAGGGTCAAATTTAAAGGAAATGCCATTTGGAGTTTTATTAACAATTAATTAATTTGCTTAAGGATTTGGTGTTCTAAGCCCCTTACTTAAGAAATTACAAAAACTAAATAAATAAATTAATAATAATAGTCAACAAAGATATCACAATTGTTATGAAAACAAATTTGGTACAAAAATGGTATTTCGCCACAAGGATTGAAAATTCGTGGCAAAATAGTTCCTAATTGCCACGAAAACAAATTCATTGCAAAAATGGTATTTCGCCACAAGGATTGAAAATTTGTGGCAAAAGATACCATTTGCCACGAACAAAGCATCGCTACGAATATCTAATAGATTTGGCACGAAAATATTTTTGTGGCAATAGAGTATATCATAGGCACAACTAATAATTCGTGGCAAAATCCATCTTTTAGCCATGAGAAAAAAACTTCGTGCCAAAAAATTATATTTGCCACGAGAATAACATCGTGGCAAATTGTAAAGTGATTTGCCACGAAAATATATACGTGGCAAAAGAAACATACAATTGCCACGAATTGTATTCGTGGCACATATAGCATTTTGCCACAACTTTAAATGTTGTCCCTAATTCGTCGTGGCATAATTGACATTTTACTACAAATTTTTAGGTTGTCCCTAATATTCGTGGCAAAAACTAGTGTTTGCCATGAAAATTTTATTTTGCGGCAAACACTCATATATTAGCTACAAGAAGTTAATTATGTGGCCAAAAGATATTTTTTGCCACAAAATTTTTTGCGTGGCAAAAAATTTCTTGGCAAGAGCCCAAATTTATTATAGTGTATGTTTTCAGATCAATAGATATAATTGTACATCTATAATTTTATATCTAAACCTATGTATGTGGAATGGTAATTTCGAATCTATATGTAAGTGGATGCATATGTATGTTGTTGGGTATATATGTATATATGGGTGTATATAAGTTTGTATCTATATGTATATATCGGTTCAAAAGGTTTGATGTTGCTTGTAAATCTTGGTTTTATTGTTTAGATTTGTATTATCAACTGCTGGGCATGTTTTTGCATCATTAGAACTTCGAATTGGGCGAAATCCGATCAGAAACCCTAAGTAATATATCTCGCGTTCAGGATGAACATGATTGGTCGCGTGTAGAGTGTGATCAATTACGTCATCAACGTGATCGGTCGAGCCCTTGTTGCGATAGATCGACCGAGAGTATGTAATTTAGAGTTTCAGAGAATATTTTAAGTATGGAGATTCGATTTGTCGCAACACGATTGGTTGCGACCTTTTGTGCGATCGGTCGTACTACAGGAATATGGTCCATAACAGACATTAATTAACTTGAGTTGATCCATGTTTATGTATTGTCATAATTGATACTAATCAAGATGGATTGTGTAATATGTTGTAACGAATGATATTAATAATTTATTCGCATTAAGGATGTATGATATTAATCATGCTTAAGGTTGATGATACTATTGTTGAGATTTATATGCCCTAGCATAGCGAATTCCTGTTTGGATTAAAGTGATATATGTTCTTGACATATCTGAAATATTTATAATTTATACAATTGGTGAATTCAATGTATTATGTTTCGATTCATTATAGAATTGATAGTGTCCACTTGATTACAAGAGATATTTATATATGTATGTGATAGCAATCAATACATGAATATAAATTGTAATCATAAATAGTTCATAGTCGGTAATTATGGATGGACTCATTTTAATTAAGACTTGAACATGATCCGCGTTAGGTTGAGATATATTGTAAGAGCTGTCATATGCAATTGCTCCTTATTACTGTCATGACATTTGACTCTTAAGCATGAGAGAAGTATAGACTCTTTTATTAATTAGTAATTACTTTGATTTGTTCAGCGGATTCTTCGGAATCCTTAGACCGACACTTTGAATAATTATGTAATTAATAGTTTAAGAATTATATTTTCAATATTTGCATCATTATTACTTGTATTTATTTTGTATTGATTATGATTGATCATAAACTAAATTCGAAGGCCTTTGTGTGTTTTTAGACAAAATGATTTATTATATATTTATTTATTTAAATTATTATTTTTGTCAAACAAATGTTTTATTATGATCAAGCCGAAAATAACCAAAGGTACCAAAATAAATATATTAATTAAGTAGTCGGATTGATGACTTTATTTATCCGATAACTAGTTATGCATAGAGGGGTAAAAATGCAACAATATTGACTTAGAGGTTATTTATTATTTTATTAGAGTTCAATTAATTTCTTTTAGTGGAGTAGAAATTAATTTATGAATTAATTAAATTGGGTCCATGGATTGGGCCAATTATTAATTCATTGTAGCCAAGAAAATAATAAACCCAAATGATTCTTACTCATAGCCCAACTTGATATTGGAATCCTATTAGATTTGAGATATCACGTTACTTTTAGAGATTGAGAAAAATATAATGTCTTTAATTATTATTTTTATTTTGCCTATATATATATGGGGTCCATGTATATTTTAGGTTACGCCTTTGTGTAATAATTTTTAGAAGATATGAAAATATTTCTCTCTTTAGAATTTTAGGGTTTGTGTTTTTATCTAATGGAGGCTCTCACAAGCTAAGCTTTCTAAGGTCATTCATGGAGGCTTATGAGTGATTCTTAAAGGCAATATCATTACCAACAAGATGGAGATCCATGGAAGAGGTATCTAACAAAAGGGATCTACAATAAGTGAGAACATTCACTTTAAAGGAGAGATTTAAAGTTTACTCAAACCTTGATGTAAGTTTTTTATCCTTAAATTGAATGGATCATCACGTTCTTCATGCATAAAACTTGTCTCTACACATGAATTAAGATCTTTATTTGAAAATCCCTCATAAAGTTTTAAAAATTTCTGTTTCCCTAACAACTATATGAACACAATTGATGAATGTATAAGATGGATTTATGTGAGGTGGCTAATAAGTTTGGTCTCACTTATTTTGTATCATTGTCAGGATATAGCTATGATGAATGAGATGACTGGGTGAGTTGGCTAATAAATTTAGACTTATTTTATATTGTGCCATTGTTAGATATGACTATATTGTTGATATTATATATTACTTGATACAAGTTAAATCTTGGCATCGGGATCAGTGGTTAGGACTGAGGCGTATATTACCGGAGACGAGTAGCTTGTATAGGTGATTTGTATGCCTTGGTAGTATAGGGGACCCTTGACCACCTCGTGTGCGATTTTTCAGGTGATACCCTGTATCAGGTTGATGCGACCTTATGCATAGTGAAGGTTTATTAGTGTGTATATTTATGTATGATTATGTAGCTATTGCATGAGTTTTAGTTAGAGATAAATTGTTTATCAGTTCTATGATTAAGTCTTAGTAGAGAGGACCTGTTCATGGGTTTGATCCACCGTTAGTATATTTTTCAGTTCCACGTCAATTCCAGACTTAGATCTAATGATCGATATATTTCTTGATGGCTTTGTTCTTGAGGCATATATTTAATTTCTCTAAAGCTTTAAGGGGTTAATAACAAGCCAGAGTTGTGTTTATGCTGCTTCTCTAATTTCCCTTTCTTTGGCACATATTTTACTCCAAGATTATTTTGCTTTTCCACAATACATTGTGCTCTGTTTGGCTGCTTTCAAATTTTGTTATCTAATTAGAGTTGTTATGACTATTCTTAAGTTATAATCTTAAAACTCCAATTTTGATCATGGACTTACAGCTCGATGCTTAATCTTCAAAACATCATTGTTCTAGGAAAATGATTCCTACCAACGTCAAATCGAAATAATTTTATTTAACTAGATAAATAGGTTAGAATTGTTTCAAATTAGTTGATTCCATCACTAGCTTTAAAATTTAGTCGTATTGATGGTGGTGTGAGTGACATATAGACACTCATCTTAACTAAATTAAGTTTCATTGTTAACATCTGTGATTTAAATTTTAAGTCTCACCCATGTCATTGTTCAACTCTACAACTTAAATCTCACGAGTGGGGAGTCCCCCAATAAAATGACATCTAAAATAAACTAATAGTCATTAAAAAGTGTATATAAATAATATAAAATCAATACACTTATATATAAATTATAGATATATATTATTTTGGGTAAGAGTTAAAAACTTTTATGACACAGTAAAAAAATAAAATAAAAGGTTCTATTTATATTTTTGTTTAAGACTATCAAGGGTTATAAGTTAACTAAAAGTCTCTCATATTTCAAAATAGAAGGTCAAAGTCGTAACTTAATTAAGCTCTCTCACCTTTCAAAATAAGAGGTCAAAGCTCCTTCACCTTTCAAAAAAGAAGGCCGAGTTATAACTTAACTAAGAAGCTCTCCCACCTAGGAGGCCTAAGAATATAACATAATTCAAGTACATGTATGGACGAAAAAGTGTGAAGGTTATATTTGGCTAAGAATATAACATATAACATTTGTTTTCTTTAGAAGCAAAGTTTGCTAATAATAACAATTTGGGAGGGAATAAATGTGTTTTATTTTTAATATGAATTAATATTATCGTCATTTAAATATAAGAGACATTTATGTCATTTAATTCAAAAAAAAAAAAAAAAAAGAAGCTGAAATTATTGTTTTCCTGACAAATATGACATCATCCAAAATTAATAGTCAATGAAAATAATAAAAATAATTAATTTATGTAAAATAAAATATTAATATATGGGCAAGACTTGAAAAGGCAACAAAATTCAAGCGTGTACACAAGTTAGGAATTTTTGGACTTCGGACCAGCCCATCTAATTATTGGGCTAGGTATACGGCCTTATACCTCTCAGAGCTTAAACCAGATTTAGGGCACACTGTTCATATTCAAACACTTTCAGAGAACCAGAGAGAGAGAGAGAGAGTGTGTGCGCGATAGAGAGAGAAAATCGAATCACGGCAAATCTCTGAAGCTCCACACTTTACAGGCAAGTACTCATTTCTACACTCTTTGCTTTGATTGAAAGCATATTATATATATAATACACCACTGTGTTTGTTCAAGAAATGACTATATAAATCTGCAAAAGTCTCATCTCTCTCTCTCTCAAGAACTTTCCACATCCCAACAAGACTTGAATCTCTGTTCTCTCTCTCGGCTTCTTCTCCTCCTCACCAAAAAGCCCCATTATGGTGGCCGATTACTTGCTTGATAGACTCAAAAATTTTCCTGAAACTGCTTCGAAAGTCTCTTCCGTAAAATGTGAAAAGGCCTGAAGAAACCGATTAAAGTAGGTTTTCTGGAGCAACACGCTCCTCAAGTTTTACTGCAAAATTGAGCGCTCCATCAAACCCAAAATCAAGCTTTTTCAGGACTGGGTTTTTCTTCTAGCGATGTCGTGAAAACTGTTTTGTCTGACCCACATATTCTAACTAGTTGCTTGTATAATCGGCTTGGCCCGACGAATTTAGCATTGAAGAGTATTTTTGGTTCAAGTATGGAAGTGTATAGGGTTTTGAAGAAATCTGCGAGGATTTTGAGGTATGATTTGGCCAATACTATGATACCCAATATTGAATTTATGAAGAGTTGTGGAAACCTATCTAATTAAGACAACTAAAATCAACTAAAATCACGTTCCTCTTCGTTCCATAATCCTTCATTCCTTCTCTCCCAAGTAACTGTACTAAATTTATCACCGCCACTAGTGACTTAATTCCTAAACCTATTTCTATATATAGCCCTCTATTATCAGCGCCTCAGCCCTCTTTTTCAGCCCTATTATCAGCGCCTAATAGCACAAATATGTTGTCCATGCCTCTAGGGTTTGGTTCGCCCCCACATAAGAACTCCTCACCCACTTTCTCAGAAGAAAAGTGAAGCAAAAATCGTTGCCGGATATGTGACTTGGGATGGCCAAAACAAGCTTGAGGAAATTTATAATGGGCAGAAACAACTTAGATGTTGGGTTTTGAATCATATGTCAAGAAAGATGAGTAGTCGATCATGCCAAGAGGTCATTGGATTATGCATGAGTATTCGCTGGGCAATGTGAGCTTAGATAGGCTAGAAGAAGGTACTGATCATCAAGATTATGTGGCTTGTAAGATCAAAAGAGATATTCTAAATATCTGAGGAGTGCACCAAAGCATGTTCGTGAGCTATCCAAAGAAGAAAACCCTAGTTGGAAGAAGATGAAGATGGGATATGATCATGATGAGGCCTTTACAAATACTCCACAAAAGACTTTGACTCTAAAGGATCCTCATGAGTTGCTTTCAACGCCGCCGTGTTCATCATTTGATGATGCAACTACTACTGCAACGTCTTTCGATTTTCAGCCTCTGCTAGCATATTATGATGAGACTGCAAGACTTTTTGATCTGCCTAACATCACAATCAACTCTTGTGGTACAATACAAGGCCTGCAACAGATAGACTCATTTTTTGACAACTTTGATGCAGCTACTACTGCAACCTCCATTGTTCAATATTCAGCCGCTGCTACCACATGATTATTTGCCGAATTCGGGTACGAATTAACCTTCGTATTTTGAATTCCTTCTGACGGGTTTTCTTTCAATTATATGTACTGATAAATATTTTCTTAATTTGTAGTAGAAAAGGAACTGACAAACCAAGATGTGGTGGTGGTTCCAGATAAGAAATCCGGTGGCAGCAGTGGCATGACGATAACGGTGACTGTGTCCAACTCCACCCTGTTCTCATTGGTGGTTCCGAAACCGCCAAGTGGGTACTTCACCATTTCTAGGAAAAAGCTGTTGAAGAAGGTTGAAATTGAAACTGGTGCCGGAGCTAAAATCAATGCATGGGTTGACAAAATGTGAGCCTCTTCTCCAACTCATAGATCATCCCCAGCTTCTACTGATCAAGACGCGAACTCTTGGATTGTATGTATCAAGTCTCATTCTGAACTTTCTTGCACATTCCTTCTATATATATATATATATAGTGTCTCATGAATTATTATTAATTTTTTTTTTTTTTGAATTGTATTGGAGACAGCTTCTCATCCCTCAGCGTTAACCATGTTCGAGCAGCTAACAAATGCTTCGAAGGGGAAGCAAATAGTGATGTTCTTGGATTATGATGGTACCCTCTAGCTGATTGTGGAAGATCCGGACCGAGCTTTAATGCCCAATGAGGTTTGTTTTATGTTATATTTGGTTCAAATTTCTCTCATATGAGTCATATACAGTCTCAGATCGATCACTAACTTGCCAAGGTACATTTTGTACATACATAAACATGCTTACATATACATATATATCTATATATATCTATATATCAATAACATTTATGCTAACGAAGTAGTAATAATTTATGCAGGTTTATAACTTTGTGAGTTTATCAGAGCTGAACTCTTCTTATACAATATTAGCAGAAGACTCGTTTTCAGAGGACATTGATCTAGAAACGCAGGAACAACTCGTTTTCGCAGGAGCATTGAGTTGTTCCTGCGTTTTTGGATCAATGTCCACTGAAAACGGTCTTCTATTGATATTGTATAAGTAGAGTTCATTAATGTGATGTTGGGTAGATCAAAGAGCCTTGCAGTCTCATCCTAATATGCTGGCTGAGGCTGAAAATCGGAAAACGGTGCAGTAATGGTTGCATCATCAAATAATAAGCACGGCGGCGTTGGAAGCAACTCATGATGATCCTTTAGAGTCAGTGTCTTTTATGGAGTACTTGTAGAGGCCTCATTATGATCATATCCCATCTTTTTCTTCTTCTTCTTCCGATTAGGGTTTTCTTCTTTGGATACCTCATGAACATGTTTTGGAGAGCAATGCTTTGGTGCTCTCCTTAGATATTTAGAATCATCTCTTTTGATCTTGCAAACAACATAATCTTGATGATCAGTACCTTCTTCTAGCCCATCCAAACTCACATCGCCTAACGAATACTCATGCATAATCCAATGACCTCTTGGCATGATCGACCACTCATCTTTCTTGACATATGCTTCAAAAGTGTTTCTGTCCGTTACAAATTTCCTCAGGCTTGTTTTCGCCATCCCAAGTCCCACATCTGGCTCTCAGAACAATTCTCTTCTTCTTACCGCCAATTTTCTTTAACTGGGTGAAGACGTAAATAACAAATTCCTTGGTCTTCAATGAATGCTATGGATCTGCCGCCGTTAATATATTCCATGGCGCTTTGCCATAAATTTGATATCTCATTTGTTGTTAATAATCCAGTATTACTTGGTTTGAGCATTGAGAATAGGCTTAAGCCACTGCTAAGGGTTTTGGAGGTTTTAGATAGGAGGAATTTGCTTCTTAAAAAGCCGAGTTTGACGAATGTATGCATGATACCTGAGAAGAAGTTTTTTGAGAAATATATACTCCCTTATTCAAATGAAGTTGGTGAATTATTTGTGGTTAAGAAGAATTCATTGGCAGCAGAAATATGTGCTTAAGATCATGACATTCTTTGTGCTCAAGACTCAGACTAAATCTTTTTCCGGAAAAGCAAATGGCTTGGCGGCATAGTATGGCAGGTAAGTAGGGACTCTTTAGCGCTAGATATTCACATCTTTTTCTTGTATCCATATGGTGTACTACTCTGAAAAACAGGGATTAATTTTTGTTTACTAGGCTTGGCTTGTTGGCTGTTCTGTTTTCTAATTCTATCTATTTTACCACTATTATGTTATGAAATTTATCTACAAGTTGGTTCATTTTGCATGTATGGAGCTAATAAATTTGATGGCACTTAAAGAATTGTAAATTATGAACTGATCCAAATCTACAAAATTAGATTAGAAATATGGAAATCATAAAACTTTATGTATTTGTGTTACTATCTCAAAATTTGGGTACAAGACTATTTATAAATATAATTATAAAAGATTCATTTCTCTCTCATATAAAATTGAGATTAATTGTTTGGTTTTTCATTATTGGCATGTGATATGTGTCTATATGCCCTAATTTAAGTTGGGGGTATAAAGAAACTAAAGAAAAGGTTTGAAAGTATAGCTGATAAAAATTATCTACCTAAAATTTTCATATTTATAAAGACTCTTTAGTAGAAGATTTGGACCAAAACACATGCATTCCAGCATATACATCAAACAATGCATTTGGCTAGAGAATTGGAAATTAATGTGAAGTTAGGTGAAAGTTATGTAAAAGTTGCTATGACTGCAGAAAGTAGAAATTGTCATAAACTGACATTAAAATAGTTTGTTAAAACTTCATAATCAGGTGACTTTTTGCAGAGCTGTAGTGTTTTTTGCTTTTGAAGAATCTGAATTAGGGTTATCAAAATTCAACATAGATTTTCAATCAGAAAATGATAAATGGGTGAAATTTGTGTAATAAGCTGTATGGATAATAAATTCACATGTTAATATTTGGCTGTAAGTTTGCTACTTAAAAAGCCATGTTTGGTAGAATGAATCCTATGGTAGTTAGTGGTTTAATTTCTTTACTTTTTATGTTTTTCAAGTTACAAAAACAAAGTGTTGTACTTGTAATTTTTTCTTTCCCAGTAAAGTAGGGGATGGAGGACTCGAACACGAGCACACTATCAATTAAGCCAATGTGTAAAGCTAATTTGTAATTTGTAATGCAGTATTGTCAGTGGTGATTAACAATTGGAGTCATTTCAAAAAGGTCACACTATAAAAACAGCCTGTTACATGACTGTAGACACTCATGACCTGGAAGGCTACATGTCAAAACACATTCCACGCATTCTATTGAATTAAGTAATTTTTGAGTGCATTGACTCTTCTTTTTCTAGGATTCGCTGGGTAGCCTAGTTGGTAAAGGCACTCTTTTGAGTTGCGGGAGCTCAAGTTCCACTCACCCCCATCCTTCCGAGGTGAAGAAAACACTCACCGCATCCTTCCGAGGTAAAATAAACAAAGGGACACTTCTTTTTCGTCTGTGAAGCCGGTGGGAAAGTAATTTTGCATAGTAAGAAGGGTTTCAAATGCATTGTTATCATTTTCCAACTACTTTAAAAGTTTAAATAAATGACACTAGCTTTACAATCCTTTTAAAAGTGGAGGCAAAGAGAGGAAATGATGTAGAGATAGTGATTATTTATTTGGTCTTTATTTTAATATTTATTATTTTTATAACAAATGAATTTCTTTTCTTTTCATTATAAATCTATGTTTCACAAAGCAGGTCATTGTTATTTTCAAACAAAAAGAGCCTTAATTTTGACAAACTCAAGGGATGTCAATGTAATTTATCCAAAAAAATTTAAAGTATTTCACACTTTTTGCAAATTCATGATAATTGATAACACTTCGAATCTGATAGTAAAATAAAGGATTAAAAAATTTCTTGAATTTAAATGACGGGTGTAATTTGCAGATGATTGCACATATTTGAAATTTATTTTCTAGTTGCAGAAAGTAGAAAACATATCAGTTCAATCTAACCTAACCACCAATATGATCTATGAAATATTCAATCATAATTCAATCCAACTTCACTATCAACTCGAGTGCAAAACATTCTTCATTTTTTAAAGCTCGAATTGAATTTGAGCTTGCAGATCGAGCCGAAATTTTGAGTTGAATTTTGGTTTCTAACTTGAGTTTATTTTTTGGGTTATTATTTGTGATGCTGAAATACCATATGAAATAACTTTAAAATTTTCACAACTAAAATAATTGAAGTTATTCGCAACACATAATAACAATATGTCATGGTCGTTCGTTGTAACCAAATGAATCCGTGAAATAACCTGCAACTAAGAGCAGCTCCAATGCTCTTTCATTTGAACTGTCAAATCCAAAATTTGAGAGGTGTGTAAAAAGTGAGCTGTCCAATAGGCTTTCATTTGGGCTCTTAAAAATTGAGAATCTCAAATCTACTCTCAGATATAGGAGTTGCCAATTTTTTTTTGGCAAGTCTTCTAATTGCCCAAACGACGCCGTTTTTGAATGAGCAAGTCTTTTACGTAATTGCTTTTTATCTGTCCCGTTGCTTTCTCTCTCTCTCTCTGCGTTGCCCTGTCGTCTCTCTCTACCTCTCAGCTGAGGCCGAGTTCATCCTCGCAAATCTCCGGCCACCCCTCTTCCTTCCAAGAAATAAAATGTAGATTACGGTGATTACCTCAAAATTATTTTTAAAAACCCATACATACAAGTTAGCAGTTGCAAAGAGGGGGGCAAGCTTGAGAGTTGAGAGACAGCGGCTGAAGCTTGTGAACGGCGAACCTGAACTAGAATAGCGGGCGATTGAAACTGAAAGATATGTGTTTTGATTTTTTGAACAATCTGAAATCATATGCCGATATGGGTTTTGATTTTTTGAACAATCTAAAATGATATACCGATACGAGTTTTGAACTTTTGATTCTTGCAAACAGATAGATAAGCTGAAATATATGGGTTTTGAACTTCTGATTCTTGTAGATTTTGTAGTTTGCAGTTGTAGAAAGAGAGGGAAAATTCAGAGTCAGAGAACGAGAATAAAGATGGAGGCGATTGGAGAGGCTGAAATGATTTGCCCTTAAAATATTATGTGGGAGAGAATGCAATGAATGGTTAAGATGGGAAGGTAATTTCGAAATCAACGGTCAGAGTTAAAGTAGGACTGGGAAGCTAGAAGTGGGTTAGGCTTGGTTCAATGGAGGCTGAAAATTGCTAATATATAACATTTTGGATGAGATGCACCATTGGAGCAGAATTGTTAAAATATAACGCTTTGACACTATAACTCCTCTCAAAATATAAATTTGGCAACACGAAATGGCATTTTGCATTGGAGATAGGGGTGGCAATTTGACCCGCCCCCGCGGTTATTTGCCCCGCCCCGTTTTTGACGGTTTTGAGGGACCGTTTAACTAATTTGGGCGGGGGTGGTTTTATATAACAAAAACCCACGTGGGTTTGGTGCGGGGGTAGGGGGAGGTCGCCCCGCCCCGCCCCGCACCGTTTAGATATGGAAATTACTTAACTACCCTTATTTAATTATTATATATATTTCTTATTAGAAACCCTACGTTTTCTTAATTCTCTCATTCACATCATTACTGTCAGCGGCGCCTACCTGTCACCCAATAGGTAATTAATTATCCGTCACCCAATAGGTAATTAATTATCCTTACCCGTCACCCAATAGGTAATTAATTATCCTTATTTTATTTAGTATATATACTCGCATTAGAAACCCTAGACCTCACAAGTCACAACTCTCGATTACTCTTCAATCTTCTTCACTGTCAGCGGCGTGTCACTGTCAACCTGATCTTTAGGGGTAAGTTATCTCCCTTTTCCTCTTCTATATTTCTAATTCCTCTGTGCTTTTATATTCACTCTGCCTTATAGAATGGAGAATCTATTGAAATACATGTATAATATATTCTATATATGTATAATAATATATTCCATATATGTATAATATATTACATGTATATAATAATATATTCTATATATGTATAATATATTACATGTATATATAGAATATATTACCAACAAGCTTCATCTGTACACCTCATGGATTCCAATAACCTGTGTATATTCTTACTTTGTTTTTACTTTATATTATCAATTTTGTTATTTTTATATATATATATATATATATATATATATATATATATATTCCTGTAAATGATACGTATTTTTTATAACATTATTTTTATATTTTTATCTGAGAATTTTCTTGAGGAGTCTAGAATTGTGGCATGTTGGGCATTTAGTTTCATACAATGCTCTCATTTAGTTCGCAGAACCTTACTCTAAGCTTTGCTATATTTTGATTTCAGTGTATACATATGCTTCAGGAATTTCACTTAGGAGCTTCAGAATTTGTCATTGACTCTCTTTGCGTAAGTTTTAATTTGCCCCGCCATGTATATATAGAAATATATTATTCTATATATGTATAATATATTACATGTATATCGTATACATATAATATATTATATAATATATTCTATATATGTATAATATATTCTATATATATATATATGCTATGTAGATATTTTATACATGTATAATACATAGAATAATATTATATATATATATATATATATATATATATATATTACGATATGTAGATATTCTATACATATTGAATAGTGGTCAATCATTTAGAATTGTCTCTTATTATTTTCCAGCATAGGACTTTTTGTTTTCTTTTGATGACTCTAATTGGTTAATCTCCTCAGAAAGGTAGAACTCTAGTGAATCCGAAAGTGCGCTGAAAGGTTCAAAGCAAAACCAACCAATTCTTCAAGTGAGGAATAGGTCTGAGGCGTATCCGGCACAGAGTTAGATTGGAATTTCCACAATGCTGTGATTTCTTTTCAGCATAGGTTATTAACTTCTTATTATATATCATTTTAATTTTATTATTTTTTGTTATCTATTTTGTAGTATAAGTAAATTGAAAGATGTCACAGGGTGATAAAAGGAAGATTGTAGATTTATCATCAAATGATAACTCATCTCCAATTCCTAATTCTGCTCCAATAACAGATTCTGCTCCAATGACAGATACAAATCCAGTTGATGAATCAGGTCCTGAAGCAGCTTCGCCCAAGAAAAAAAAATTAACATCAGTTGTGTGGAATGATTTTAAGAAGATAAAGATAAATGGGATAGAGTTTGGTGTTTGCAACCATTGCATTTCAAAGTTGAAAGCACCTAGTAGGAATGGAACAAGTAGCTTGCGCGACCACTTAAAAAGGTGCAAGAAAGTTGGAAACAAGGATATGAGATAGTTTGTTTTGCAACAAAATCTGAAAAAGATGGATGGACAGTTGGAATGTCGTACTTCTCTGTTTGATAAACAAGCTACAAAAGTTGCACGTGATGAGCTTACGGGGATGATCATAGTGCATGAGTATCCACTCTCTATTATTGAACATTCCCGCTTTCGAAGATTTGTTAATGCCCTTCAACCCATGTTTAAAATGGTTTCTCGAAATACAACCAAAAGGGACATCTTAAGTATTTATGAATTTGAGAAAGCTAAAACATTGTGGTTGTTGGAGACCCTTGGGAGTAGAGTTGCCATCACTTCTGATATGTGGACTTGCAATCATTCGAAGAAAGGTTTCATGGCAATAACAGGCCACTTTATCGATGATTCTTGGGAGTTGCAACAAAGAATTTTGAGGTAATAGACTAATATTAATTTCTTCATTTACATATTTATGTTTATTTACTAGATATTCAATTATTTTATTTATTTCTCTTGTTATACTTAATTAATTAAGTATTTTTTTTATTTTTATTTTGATTCATTTTAGGTTTTTGTATGTTCCTGCTCCACATAATAAGGAAGTCCTTTCTAAAGTTCTTGTGGATACTTTTTATGATTGGAATATAGATAGGAAGTTATTCACAATTACTTTGGATAATTACACCACAAATGATGATATCATCGGTTGTCTTTTAGACAAGCTTGATTCTAATGCACTTTTACTTGAGGGAAGCTTTTTTCATATGAGATGTGCACATATCTTAAACTTGATTGTTAAAGATGGGTTGGAAGTAATTGGGGATGGGATAGAAAAAATACGTGATAGTGTTTGTTTTTGGACAGCAACACCAAGTAGAATTGAAAAATTTAAAGAAGCTGCTTACCAATTAAAGATCCCATATACTAAAAAGTTAACTCTTGATTGTGAAACTCGTTGGAACTCAACATATCTTATGCTTGAAGTTGCTTTGCATTATAAAGATGTGTTCCCACGATTAAAACAACGTAAGAGACTTTACACTAGATTGCCAACTAATGAAGATTGGGAAAAGGGAAAAGAAATTTATGAAAAATTGTATTTGTTTTACACTACCACATAATTGTTTTCTGGTACTCAATATCCTACTTCCAATTGTTATTTTCATAAAGTTTGTTTAATTAGAGAGTAATTGTCTTTTTGGCTTCAAAGTCCTAATGAGATCATTAAAGTGATGGCATCAAAAATGATGGATAAATTTTTGAAATATTGGAACGTTTGTCATGTGGTGATGGCAGTGGCTGTGGTTTTAGATCCACGATATAAGATGAAACTAGTAGAATATCATTTTGGAGAGATATATGGAGATGAAGCTTCTAGTGAAATTCAAAAAGTTTGTCAAAATGTTTATGACTTGCTTTGTGCATATCAAGTCAATACAATGACAGATGGAAATATGGATGTTGATGTTGCTTCTACTTCAAGTCAAGCTACTAATTTGTCTGAGGATGCAAGTCTGTCTAAGTTTGATAGGTATCTCAACTCGAGTGTGACTAATTTTTATACAAGGACTGAGTTGGAGTTTTACTTGGAAGACAATGTGCTGCCTAGAATCCCAAATTTTAATGTCTTGACTTGGTGGGGTTCGAATGGAGTTAAGTTTCCTACTTTGCAGAAGATTGCTTGTGTATTCCCGTGTCTACCGTTGCATTGGAATCTGCTTTTAGCACTGGCGGTAGAGTGGTCAATCCACATCGGAGTAGACTTCATCCATCTACTTTGGAGGCTTTGATGTGTGCTCAGAATTAATTATTGTGTGAAGACATGGATGGTAAATTGATTATATTTAAATTCTTTAATTTATTATTTTCTAATGCATTAGTTATCTTACACTTTTGTTTTATTTTTAGGAACTGATTCAATATTTGATCCATGCAAACAAACTCAGCATATATTCTGATAATTATAATGATGATAATGAATATGTTCCTGAGATTTGCCAAGGTATTGTTTCAACTTTAATAAGAATCTACTTTAATATTTCATGCTAATTTTGAACTTTTTAGTGATCGAATAGTGATGTTTTCTGCAGATTAATCATCAACATATGATTCTTTTGGGGATGTTGAAGAAATTGTGCAACTATGGAGACATTGAAGAAATTTATGAGAAGATTGTTTTGAAATCTAAATTTTCTGATAACTTTTTGTCACTATGTAATGAATTATCTTTTTTTTTTTTTTTTTTTTTTTTTTTTTTTTTTCTTTTCTAAATTAAAACTCTTTTGGAAGCCAAATTGGAACGATGTAATTTGACTTGTCTGGTTTTGGTATGTTATCTTTTATGAAATTACTGTTATAGAATGTTTTTAATGTTGAATTAACTATTTATTTTCTATTTTTTAATGAATATGTTTAATAATTATATAATTTTAGTTGATAAAAAAAAAAAAAAATGTAGGAGAAATTTTGGTCTTAAGCGGGGCGGGGTGGGTACCCGCGGGGGTAAAATTGTTAAACGGGGGCAATGATGGGGTGAAAAGTCCCTCCGTTTTTGCGGTTTTGGGCGGGGACGGGGGCGGGGTTTTTAAACGGTTGCGGGGACGGGGGGGTGTACACCCGCCCAAACCCGCCCCTCTTGCCATCCCTAATTGGAGATGGTCTAACACAAATATATATGTTCACACATATAATATTATATATAGATATGTGTTGCAGCTCGAGTTGAGCTTCAGGTTGTCAGTTTAGTCCGGCCCGAAATGCAATGTGGTTCCTATTTTTCAATCCAAGTCCCGCAAATTCAACGACCCAAACCTGAAAATTTTCAGGCTGGCCCATGAGTTGCAGCCCTACGTATATTTTTTCTAATTTCCTTTCTTTTCATTTCTCTCCAACCAAACAAAGCCTTAAGAGCCAGAGTTTGTGTTCTTGCTACTTCTCTGGTTTCCTTTGTTTGGTACATATTTTACTGCAATATTATTTTGATTTTCCCCAAGAACATTGTGCTCTGTTTCGCTGCTTTCAAATTTTGTAATATAATTAGAGTTGTTATGATTATTTTTAATTTCTAATCTTAAAACTACAATTTTGATATGGAGTTACAGCTCAATGTTTAATCTCGACAACCTCATTGTTTAAGGAAAATGATTCTTACCTACCTCAAATGGATATGATTCTTACCTAGGTTAGAGTTTATCCCAAATGTTTTTTTATTGGTTCTGACCACAAATTACCGGATACCGAATTACTTAATATTTTCTCTGTCCTCCCTGTTGTATTCGAAAGGAGGGAAGACAAATTATTATAAAAGTTTTAAATTAAATACTATCTTAAATTATATAGATTTAATTCACATTATTATCCTATATAAATTATAATATTATATCTAGTACCTACATATAATGCTAAAATTAAACTTTCTCTTTCCTAACTAACATAGTAAATTGTGATCTTATCATCTTCTCTTCCATTCAACAGAACAAAAAAAAGAAAAGACACAATCTCTTCTATAGGGATGTGTCATCCATCCCTTTCTTATTTTCCTTTTGTTTAAATTTTTTATTTCCTACCAATTTAAGCATAAGAATATAATATTTGTTCTTTAAAAGCAAAGGTTGCTAATAAAAACAATTTGGGAGGGAATAAATGCACTTTAATTTTTAATATGAATTGATATTATTGTCAATTAAATATAAGAGACACTTATGTCATTTAATTCAAAAAAAAAAGAAAAAGAAAAGTGCAATTATCATTTGCCTAACAATTATGACATCATCCAAAATTAATATTCAATGAAAATAATAAAAAGAATTAATTTATGTAAAATAACATATTAATATGTTGTGAGACTTGTGAATCAAACCTTGCAAAAGTTAGGAAATGTAGGCCTTGGGACCAGCCCACCTAATTATTGGGCTAGGGCTTTAACTCAATCAAGCCTTTAAATACCAGTGTCGATTTGGGTTTAAGGCCTTAAACCTAACAGAATTCAAACTAGGTTTAGGGCACACTGTACACATTCTTTCAGAGAACCAGAGGGAGAGAGGGAGAATCTGATCACTGCAAGTCCATGAAGCTCCCCACTTTACAGGCAAGTACTCATCTCGACACTCTCTGCTTTGATTGAAAGCTTATTATAGATATATAGTTCATATCATTGTGTTTCTTCAAGAAATGACTATATATATCTGCAAAACTTTCATCTCTTCATATCCCAACAAAACGCCAACTTCTTTTCTCTCTCTCCTCTTCTTCTCTTCCTCTCCAAAACCCACCAATGCGGTGGCTGCTTACTTGATTGAGAGACAAAAATTTTCTCCTGAAACTGCTTCGAAAGTCTCTTCCTCTATAAAAAGCCCCAATCTGAAAAGCCCTGAAGAGACCGATTCCATTCTTTCATTTCTCAAGGAAAGTGGTTTTTCTGATACCCATCTCGAGCGTGTCATCAAACGCGCGCCTCGGGTTCTCTTTGCAAATCTTGAGCGCTCCATCAAACCCAAATTCAAGCTTTTTCAGGAATTGGGTTTTTCTTCTAGCGATGTTGTGGAAACTGTTTTGTCTGACCCAATGATTCTAACTAGTAGCGTGGATAATCGGCTTGGCCCGACGATTTTAGGATTGAAGAGTGTTTTTGGTTCAAGTATGAAAGTGTCTAGGGTTTTGAAGAAATGTGCGAGGATTTTGAGGTATGATTTGGCCAATACTATGATACCCAATATTGAATTTATGAAAAGTTGTGGTATTAGTTCGCTGCAAATAGCTCAATTTGTCTATAGTACCCCAACATTTTTCTTTTTTAAACCGACGAGTATTAGAGAATATTTCAGGAGGGTTGATGAGATGGGCTTTGACAGGAAGTCTAAGATGTTTCTTCATGCTATTCGGGCTATTAGTACAATGACTATAGAGAAATGGGAGTTGAAATTGGAGCTCTTTAAAAGTTTGGGGTTTTCGGAAGATGGCATTTTGTCAGTTTTTAGGAAACAGCCTCAGGTGTTTGCTGTGTCAGAGAAGAAAATTAAGGGGATGACACAGTTTTTGCTTAGCACTGGCAAATGTGATATCTCATATGTTGTTAATAACCCAATCATACTTACTTACAGTGTTGAGAATAGGCTCAAGCCACGGCTAAGAGTTCTGGAGGTTTTAGAAAGGAGGAATTTGGTTCTAAAAAACCCTAGTTTGAGGACTTTATGCTCGATGACTGATGAGAAGTTCTTGCATAATTATGTACTCCCTTATTCAGATGAAGTTGGTGAATTATTGACAGCAAGGCCTCATTGACATATGTACTCCCTTAGCAAGGCCTCATTGATAGCAGAAATATGTGCTTAAGATCATGACATCTTTATAATCTCATTGAGGCAGGCTGAGATTGATTTTTTTTTTTTTCCAAAAAGAAAATGACTTGGCGGCATAGCATGGCAGGTAAGTAGGTACTCTTTTGCGCTGGATATTCGTATGTATGTCTCATCCATATGGTGTACTACTCAGAAAAATGTCAATTTAGTTTCCAGGTGGCTGTCTCATTTCAAATGTGTTGAAATATATCCTTAATTTATTCTTTTTTTCTTTTTTTTTTTCAAATTTTCAATTGAGGCATCATGTTGAATAACCGTGATTGGTATTATATCTTGCTCAAGCTTTCTCATTTTGTGTGTGAGTCAATGATTTCTAAGTATCTGCACGCGTAGCCGTGATCTTATTCTTCTCATATAATTTTATCATTGTGCAGAATTGTATGGTATTGGAAGTTTTGTTTATCATGTACATTGGAACTTACAAGTCACATTTTAGTCATGTATGTCTCTTATGCTTCTTCTTCCAATATGCTAGCAGTATCCCGAATGAAGTCATCTGCAATCTGCAGCTGCTTCTCGCTATAGTAAATTTTGATTTCAATTCACTGAGTACAATCCAATATTATTAAAGCATAGCAAATTTACTAACATGAATCTCTGTTTATAAAGAACAACTACTCCCCTGAAGTCGCCAAAGCTCGCACTCTTAGAGACAGCATCTCCCTCCTTTCTTTGTGGGGCTATGATGGTGTAGATGTTGATGGCGACTGTTCCAATGTCATCAATCTTCGCCCTTCTTCCTCTCACCTCAGTTTTAACCGTGGATATTAAGCTGCTGCTCTCTCCATCCAAGCCTCTCTCTTTGCTGGACTCCTCGAGGTTGAAACTGTGTGTGGCTCACTCCAAGCAAAATAATTTTCAATGGCCTTCATGGCCCAACTGGCTTGTCCAATCTGTTAATGCTGAGGCCTCTGGCCTTGCTTCTTCCTCTTCTTAGTTTTTAAGCCTCTCTCTTTGCTGGACTCCTCGAGGTTGAAACTGTGTGTGGCTCACTCCAAGCAAAATGATTTTCAATGGCCTTCATGGCCCAACTGGCTTGTCCAATCTGTTAATGCTGAGGCCTCTGGCCTTGCTTCTTCCTCTTCTTAGTTTTTGTTTTTTTTCCCTAACAAACTAGGGAGAGGGGGGATTTGAACACAATTGCACCGGCTCGGAGATTTGAGCGCTCTATCAACTAAGTATATATATATATACATATATACATATATAAAGACGAAGTTGATCACGAGCTCTCAACACCATCCTTTCCATACAGCTCCCCTACCTACGAGGCCCCAAATCCAACCCAATAAATGCACATTCTCCACACCTGCAAACCACACCACAACCACACATCACCGTTGGAGAACCACCTTCTCATCATGAGGCCATCTGCACCGGCCTCTTCGAATTTTGGCTCTCTAACAACGCCACATTAGCCTTTTCAAGAGCCACATTAGAAATTCCAAGAGCCACGTTAGCAGTTTTCGCTCTCCAGAAACATGCACTCCATCAGACTCTCTGAATTTTCGCTCTAAAATAATAATAATAATAATAATCAATTATTATTATTATTATTTAACTTTTCCTAAACGGCTATATTTTTAAGGTGAGCGTCACACAAATGTTGGAAGATGGACTCCGTCACTGAAGAATGCAATCCCGATTCCTATTTTAAGTCGATGCCCATCAATTTTAGCGGCACACATATCCTCTTGCCAACTTCAGATTCGCAACAGAGAGACAAATGCGCGGTTAAGGAATGATTTGATGGAAAATTTGTGGAACCCGCTATGCTGATGAAGGTGTTTAATTTATGTTGCATTTTATTTGCTTTTAAGATGTTATGACATTTCGTGTACTAGAATTTTTATTATGTAATGGTTTTTTAAGATTAAAAATAATGAATTGGAATAAGAAAATAAGTATTAGAAAATTCTATGGGAATAAGTAGATGAATTTGTAATTTTAATTATTTTTTTAACAAAAAGTGTTAAAAAAAGCTTTTATAACTAATTTTTGGCCCAAATAAATAAGGATTACAAAATAAGGATTCAAAATAATGAATTGGAATAAGAAAATAATGATTACAATTTAAAGCAAAAAAAAAAAAAACCCCAAAAAAACAAAAGCTTTTTGAATTTATTTTTGGCCCAAATAAATTTTGTTTGAAGGAGTACAAAATAAGGATTAAAAATAATAAATTGAAATAAGAAAATAAGGATTACAATTTAAAAAAAAAAAAAAAAAAAATTTAAAGAAAAAAACAAAAGCTTTTTGAATTTATTTTTGGCCCAAATTTTTTTTTAAGGATTACAAAATAAGGATTAAAAATAATAAATTGGAATAAGAAAATAAGGATTACAATTTAAAGCAAAAAATAAAAAAATAACAAATTTTAAGGGAAAAAAACAAAAGCTTTTTGAATTTATTTTTGGCCCAAATAAATTTTTTTTTTTTTTTTCGATAAATAGTGCCTAAACAATATATTTTTTATTTAATGAATTTTAATTTATTTTATTTTTTCCTAAAAGGAGCTAAAAATAACCTATTTTTAGGTTTTAAAAAAAAAAAAATTTTTTTTTTGCTTTAAGCACTGTTTGGCGCACTGTGCATAAGTGGGATAACAAGACAAAATAGTGACAGCCCAAAATGGCGCCGTTTTGAAGCAAGAAAAAACACAAAAAAAAAATTACAACAATCGCGGGCCGGCTCGCTGATTACCGCGAGCTGGCCCGTGATCGCTAATGGGCCCTATTTGTTTTAGCTAGCTCGCTAGAGGGCCTATGGTGTTTTTGCTCGCTGGATTTGGGCTACCGCCGCAGATGGCCTGAGAACCCCTTTAAACCTACTGACCAAGCCGAAGGAAGGATTAGCAACCTCGGATGATGACATCCTACAAGCCAATGAAGAAAGAAGGTCAGGCCAAATGTTGACCATGGAACAGAATTAATGGAGAAGGATTTCTTTGCTATTGAAAAATGGACTTGGTAAATACACCCCGACTTTAAAATATTGAGGTGAGGTGTATGTGGTTCACCATTCCACACCCTGTTAGGTCCGGACTGGAATATGGGTGGGGTGATATCGTTACGGGCCGATTTAGCAGTGTGATCAAATAATTCACACCGAAACCGGCCATTTTATAGGTTTATCGACGATATTCCGACTCAGCTAGCCGGTTCCTCTGGAACCCAACCCAACAAGCCAGATACAGTTTCTTGGTAAAAGTTGTGCAATAAATTTATTTAAGGGCTTTCTTATGTAAAGCTCCATTAAATTCTGTCCATTTATTGAACTATTATTTCTCTAACAAAATACTACAACATTAATATTTATTAATTTATTTTAAAATTTTAAAAATATAAAGCAGAATATTATATTTGTTTTAGAATATTAAAAGGGTTGTTTTAACTTATATTATATTTTTTAATTTATATGTTTTTCTTTTAACATGTTAAATATGGTATATTTATTATTTTATTTTTAAATCTAATAATATTCATTGATTTAATAATAATATATAATTACTAAGTTTTTTAATAAAGACATTGACTTACAATTTATAAATAAATCATTACTCATACTAAGTTGTCTTAAAATTTTTTAATAAAATTCACAAAAAAAAAAAAAAAAAAAAAATGCATTTTTATCAAAATATGTTGTAAAAATTGAAGCATTTTGGACACTACACGCGAATTTGAAAAAAAAAATTCACAATTGCAATAATTACATCGCTTTTAAGTTTATGAAGAGTAACACAAATATATAAAGTTTTCTGTCCATAATTCTAATATAATTTTGTAAATTTGGACATCATAAAACTTGGGTTTGCAATAAAACATGAATGTTTTTAATTTCGAGGAGTAAATAAATTTCATAACATAATAGTGATAACATTTTAATAACATAAGACCAGCCCACCTAATGCTAGGGCCAGGCGGCCCAGGACTTTCACAAAATCAGATATTTTCAGACAATAGGAGCAGCCCACCTAATGCTAATCCAGGAGGCCCAAGACACTAAATCAGAGACATTTTCCGATCAAGGCCTTGAAACCTCTAGTTGTAAAGCTAAAGAACCCTAACATACAGAGCTCCAACCAGGTTTAGGGCAACTCTGTTCATCCTTCAAACACTTTCAGAGAACCAGAGAGAGAGAATCGAATCACTGCGAATCCATGAAGCTCCCCACTTTACAGGCAAATACTCGTCTCTACACTTTTTGCTTTGATTGAAAACACACACACACACACACACACATATATATATATCATTGTGTTTCTTCAAGGAATGACTATATATATCTGCAAAAGTCTCATCTCTCTCTCTCTCAAGAACTCTTCACATCTAAACAAAACTCGAATCTCTCTTCTCTCTCTCCGCTTATTCTCCTCCTCTCCTAGAGCCCCCATTGCCGTGGCCGATTACTTGCTTAATAGACACAAATTTTCTCCTGAAACTGCTTTGAAAGTCTCTTCCTTCGTAAAGTATGTGAAAAGGCCTGAAGAGACCGATTCGATTCTTTCATTTCTTCAGGAAAGTGGTTTTTCGAATTCCCATCTCGAGCTTCTCATCAAACGCATGCCTAGAGTTCTCTCTGCAAATCTTGAGCGCACCATCAAACCCAAAATCAAGTTTTTTCAGGACTTGGGTTTATCTTCTAGCGACTTTGTGGAAATTGTTTCGTCTAATCCGTGGATTCTAACTACTAGCGTTGATAATCGGCTTGGCCCGTCGATTTTAGCATTGAAGAGTGTTTTGGGTTCGAATATGGATGATGTGTCTAGGCTTTTAAAGAAATCTGGGAGGTTTTTGACGCATGATTTGACGAAAACTCTGATACCCAATATTGAATTTTTGAAGAGTTGTGGTATTTGTTCGTCGCAAATAGCTCGATGTGTCTATACTTACACAACACTTTTCTTGCATAAACAGACGAGAA